ATAAACTTCCCGAATTTACCGGAACTACTAATTCAAATGAGTGCTATAATAATGAGTCAACAATAAAAATAACGGCATTCATTCRTAAAACTACGAGCAATGTTGCCACTCAACGCAGCATTTAATAKATGAGCATTTGTAGCTTCTCTACAATAAAAACAAGAGCGTGCAAAGGTGGCACAAAATTTTCGTGATCTATTTTTATCAACAAGAGCTATTAGAAATCAAAAGCAGAATAATATACATTTTTTTTTAGAATTTCATTTAGTAAGTGATGGATACTGGATATGGAGGCAGAGCCGAGGTCSTCGTAGACGTCTCAAAACTTTTCTGCAATTTTGGTTATATGCACCTAAAAGTGTCCTTCCCCACAAAATAACAAAATTTAGTCCGAAAAATGTATTGCCTATATAATCATTTGGCTCCCATTCGACCCCTGCCCCCGACAATACTTTGTAACTTTTTTATAAACAATCTTGCTTCCATTATAGGCTGAATACGCGATGGAAGTGGGAATATTTTAATTAGATTTCACCTTCGATAGCTGAAATAGCAAGACTTCAATGAAAATAATTGCGTACGTCCCCCGGAGGCTTCTACGATGTACGTGTGCTWTATCTTACATTTTAGCTTGCAACACTATGTATATGCACAAGTATATATRTATGAATTTATAAGTACTATAAATGCAGGGGTGTGAGTAAAAAGTTTGGTGCGAACCTTCCCATTTACCCGCTTTTGTGAAACATGAAAGTAACAACAAATTGAATACACCGTCTCGTGAAATCATTCCATCCAATTTGGGCATATCTCAAGCGAGCGAAATGGAGTACTTTCAATTGCGGCATTGATGTCGGCGGAGAAGGCAAATTAATTCCACCATCGAGGCTATGGAATTTCATTGGATTCTATGCTTACAAGTCTACGTACAAATTTAGGTGCTTCTTATCAACGGCGTTAAGATTATGAATTCACTTACAAATATACTTACATACATAATTACCGTTCCTTTGTAGCAGGTTAATTAAGCAGTGTCATCTACAGCCAACAGAAATGATTGAGYACTGTAATCTGCAACGCTCTGCCACAAACATCAAGTAAAATGAGACAAATTCCACTTAGAATAATAAATGACGAGTTATGAACGAGAAAATACCGTATTAATTAGCATAGCAGCGATTTTTAATGAACATAAGTCATTTTAGGTTAATCAGGAATTATGGATAAGCATAGTACAAACCTTTCCAAATAATTTCTAAAAATTTCTAAGCAGCAATCCGCTTTAATTCACTTTATGAATTGGTCTTAACAATTTACTGCATAATATTAATATAAAACAGCTCGAACTATAGCAGGATTATTTATTAAAAGTTATATTGTAGATGCGCTATAAAAATAACCGGATATTTTTCTAAAATCATCTGGTAATGTGGAAAGACAATATAAACAGTGTTGCTATAAAACACAGTACTTTTGGATTTGTACAGATAGTGAGAATGAGCCGAGAAACAAGAAAATCAATTGGAAAGATATTGAAAATCACCCATAAAAATGGACCATTTCAAAGCCAAAGCTGAGGAAGCGTTGACGGCGAACCACGTCCATGACGACCATCATTAGCAATTGGTACCTGAGAATCGGCGATTAACAGTCAGAGATCTTACTTACATCGTTGGGATTTCGGATGGATCATTTGAGCCTAAGAAATCTGAAAACGCAATTGGATAGAAAAACAGCGACTACCAAGATATCATGAAACATATTATTACTAGCGACGAGTCTTGGATCTATGCTCCCGATCCAGAAACAGACTATCAATCGTGGAAAAGGTGGGCCGAAGTCGAGAACATYACGTCAAAGTAGGTCAAAAATCAAGGTCATGTTGACAGTTTTCTTCAATAATCGAAATGTGCTGCGAGAATTCCTTCCGACCGGACAAGTTATCAACAAGGAATACTATTTGAGTATTATGTGTCATTTGCGCGAACGTTTTCGTAAAAA